ATGTTTATAATGGTAATATATAATCTTATATTATCTTGTTAAAAAAGTAAACATTTATAAGTTTTAATTTTAAAAAAATTCTATAAAATCAGCAAAATATATTTTTGAAAAATTTTAATATATAAAGTTTTTATAATAATAGACTTTAATAGGACAAGAAACCTAATCTTAAACTAAAAGAAGCAATCTCAATATATATAATTTTAAAAATACTTAATAACATTTAATATTTTATTTTTATATGGTTTATATCAAACTTTATTAAAAAAATTTTAAAAATGTGAATATAGATTTTATCAAATTATAAGATATAATAAAAGTTTTAAATAATCTAGTCTTTATAAGCAAGATATTAATCAAGTTTTTTTTTTATATTTTGAAGAAAACAAATAATTTAGAATAAATAATACAAGATTTTATATTTTTATTATACAATGCATAATAAATAATGGTTTAAAAAAAATTTTTTTTTCTTTTTTGAAGATTAAAAAAGTTAATAATTTGAATTAAGTTAAGATAACAATTTTTATTAATAATTAAACTCTTAAAACTGATATAATTAGAAGAGATAAAGATTTTAGAATATTTAAAATATATATTTTTTAAGGTATCTAATTTATAGAATTTTCTTATAATATTTTATATAACAAAATTTTTCTAACTAATAATAGTTGTAATAGTACAGATTGAATTTTTCTTCAAGTAATTATAAATTATTAAACTTTTTTATTTCTCAGTTAGATCTTTTTTATTATTTATTATTTAAAATAATAATTAATTTAAGTATACCAATTCAACTTTTTTTAAGACAATATAATATTATTCAAATATTATAAATATTATTTAAATGTTTAAAAATATCAAGAAGAAATTTAAGATATGATTTTTTTAAAAAAAAATTCAAATATATTTTAGATTTAATTTAAAAAAATAGCTTGACATATTTTTTCATATAACTTTTGTATTGCAAAATAAAATTAAATAAAAATTTTATATTATATTTACTTACCTATTTTTTGAATAATTAAAGAAAAAAAATTGTTTACAATAATATAATATTCTACTGTATAACAAACAGAAGTTTGCTTGAATTAATTAGAACAATATTTAGAAGAACATGAATAGAATCTGAAAGTTTTTTTTTAAAAAAAATTTTTCTAAAATAGTTGGCTTGTTTTTTATTAAAATTTTTCTTAATTATCAAAAAAATTTTTTTTTTTAAAATTTAATATATTTGAAAAAATTAATTTTTAACATATTAAATATATTTAATAAAAAAAAAGTATATTATATTATATTTTTATTAATATTTGATCTTGATTTTATCTAATATTATATTTTAACTTAACCAAAAACAAAAATATGAAACCTTTTAAACATTGTTTTTGAAAATCAAATAAAACGCTAATAATTACATGAATAATAATAATAATAATAGTTATTATTATTATTATTATTATTATTATTATTATTATTCATGTAATTATTACTTTTACCATTTGACCATTGTAACTAGTTTATCTTAATTATATTTGCATGCTTGATTATTGCATTTGTTTTTAATAATTACATATTAAAGGCATATCAGTTAAATTAAATTGATATAGCAACAATAGCAATATAAACAATAATAATAATAACTTATAAATTTGTGATTTTATATTTTTTTTTAATGCTTTTTTGCATTTTAATATTCGCAGTAACGAAACAAGTTACCAATTAATTGTTTATTGTAGTCGAGCAAATTCATGTAATGAGTGGTCATTCACGTGGTCGGCGCTTACATAAAAAAGCTTTTGTGTATGTTTCGGGACCGAATGGTATGTTTGGAAATTCTTTCCTTGGCGAGACTATAATGGCACGAATGGATTCAACCCCCTCGCAAACAATTATTTACAAATTTATAAATGATCATCACTTCCATAAGTGATTTTCATCTCACACTTTTCCGATTTTTGTTTTTCATATATTTTGAGCATCTCTCACTCGGATTTGGTCACCTTTTCTGCCGTCTGATGGATTTTTCGGGAAAAAGAGACGACAACGACAGCAACATTAATCTCACTTAAGCACGTATGTACATGCGTACGTACGCGGATTCAGCTCATTATTTCTTTGATGCACAGTAATTTCGCTTGTGAACGGTTCTAACCTGATTTGTGCAGATCACATGACATAAAGAACACCTGTTTGTAACTTGAATTGGACGGCTGTCTTGCATCAACGTTTCATAAGGCGAAAAAATCCATTATAGTTCAAAGGGGGTTAAACTGAATTCTAAATATTCAATTAAATGCCAAAGCCTCGTTGATTCGTGTAGATAAAAACGAATTCTATTCTTTGTTTCCAAAATTAAGTCTTTACGAAAACCTTCAAGATGATGGAATCGAATCGTCGTCGCACGTACGCAGCTGACGGAAAAATTTCTCGCGAGACTCCTCAGCCAGAATAGATTGTGTGTGACCCAAACAAAGACTCATGTGAAAAAAAGTCGTTTACCCATTCGCCGGCGGAATTCTGGTCGGAATTTTTCGGTAGGTACAATAGGGTTAGCACATTGATTCCGTTTTCTTGATTGATTCACCATCCCACAGTCGTGTATGCAACATATTTTGGATTAAAATGGGATTGATACTTTATATTGTTACTTGTTATGCTTCTTCGTTGTGCGAAATTAAATTTATATCATGTACGCACATGCATACATACGGGTAGATTTGGATTACTGATAGTTGTCGATTGTACAAGGAGTGAAGCAATAATGTGAATATTGTATGAGTCAATAATAATAATAATAATAATAATAATAATAAATAATAATGCCGATAAATAATAAATAAATATAGATAGATAGATAGAGATAAATCAATACAATAAATTAGTGGAGGCAAAAAAAAAAAACCTTTTTTCTATTTTTTTCTCTCGCTACCGTTGTCCCGCTGCAGTAACTCCGAACGCCGAAAACCTGTAATCATCGTGTTACATGTAGGTCACGTGAAACCGACAAATCTCGATGAAACACATTTCATTAACCAAATTCCCTAGGGTGTGCACATGTGTCACGATAGTACCAAATATTTACGTATGCGTGCGCTGGGCCAATTGGAAGGCAGGAATTTTGATAAATCGGCCTGGAGACCGTGGGTAATTTTTGCTGTTTGTGTTTAGCCAAATATTTTTTTTCTACGGTCTGCAGTTATTATTATAACAACTACTATACAAATTTGGTTAAATACACGAAAAACTGGAAAATTACTGGAAAATTGTCATAAAAAACCCATTGTAGAATTTTGAAAGAGATAATCAAGTTTACAACCTGAATCCTTGCATAACCGATATACGTCTGAAATATTGTGGTGACGGTTTTTTGCTTACGTGTGTATGTTAAATTCTTCAGCCTTCATGCTTGTTGGAAATTGTTTAGTATCAAAACCTTTATTGTCTCATCTACTTAATCGATCATATAAAGTAATGATGGACTTTTTTATACACCCCCAAAAACCCATATGAGATCAATTGTATTGTTTTTTCTAAAGGGAACACTTTACCAAACAGTTCCCCGAGCTCTCCGGTATTTCATATCATGATAACTGAATAATGAATAGATATTTTCATTTCTGCTACTATATAGAGTATTAAGAATATACGTATTAGTATAGTGTAATGAAGTTTGATTGAGTTAAATCGATGATAGACTTTTGATTAGAATTGGGGCCAATATATGTACCACGTAGGACATGGTTCTTTGTAGCATCTGATACAGTACAAAGAACTATTAACATGGTGGGTTGTACCTACTTTTTCCTCAAGCTAGATGTTATAAAAAAAACCCGGAATCCTTTTACGTCCAAATTGTTGCCCTTTTGCCCCTTTTTTGTTCAAGCAACTGTTTGTCACTTCATCAAAAACAATAAAAAATATCTCATTTTTCTTTTCCTCCACTAAATTTCTTCTTTTCTTAAAATTTTTCTTATTTTAACCCCGTGTATTCTTTACTGTTAAAAGCTTGTGACTCGTGAAAATCTTTTAAAAGAAGTTATCGAGAACGTGAGAACCAACCGAACAGGTATCAATTCCCAAACCAACATTTCTTTATTATTATTTATTATTATTATTATTATTTTCTATTTTCTATTTTCCTTGGACCGCAAAAAAAAAATTTTTTTTTTTTCCTTTCGCTTCTCCACCTCTTCTTCCTCCACACACTCTTCAACACAAACCTGGACGCGACTGTGCGACCAATTATCCCTTTTCGAAATGTGATTGCCCTCAGCCGCTTCACCTTCAAACGACTTAATTTCATTCTCGAATCACATGTCATTATCCACCGCGAACTTTTCTTACGTACACACGCATCTACATGCACATCTATCTATACATATATGTATTCTATTTATGTCTATGTGTAATACATATGTGTTATGTATATGTATACTCCAATTCTACGCATGATTATTATCATTACACCAAATGATGCACATCGTGTCGAACCAATCCCCACGCATACACTGTCTCATCCTTCTTTCATAAACATCCTCTCGCTTCCTCCAATTCCACTTTCGTGCATTTTGATTTGCAAAACTCAAATTTGACATCACGTCAAACCTTTCCTTTCTCCGTTCTTTTGATGTTCGCACCGATTTTCTTTTCCTTCAACGGGCTGATCCCTTTCCGTGGCGCAGTGCAACATTCACTTTTTTTTTTTTTTTTTCTTTTTTTTTTTTTCACTCATTTATATGCATGCCTTGTACTACATGTGAATAAGGGTACAACATGTTTTGTTCACATGAGCTCCTTATATAAGGGATAAGCGTATTCTCTCATTCACCATCTCATTTCCTTTTTTTCTCACCTACTTTTTACGCATACAGGCTACGTAAAAGGTTACTACAGTTTCACCCGCTACCCATTTAGCAACCTGTCAAAAAAAAAAAAAAGCTCTGCAACGAAGTCTTAAAAAAGAACTTTCCACTTACCACTTTTGAACGCACGCCACAGACATGAGCGGTCTAGCAAGTCCAAATAATCAACGAAAGCAAAGTAACGCTTCCGGTCACAGCGTTGACCTGTCTGAACAGTCAACTCCCAGAGGAACCAAACGAGACCTCGAGGATGACGAAGATTGCGAATCTGGCGAAGACGATACCGGAAGTAAGAATGAAAAGCGCGCGGGCCGTCGTAAGATAAAGATTGAATATATCGATGATAAAAGCAGGCGGCACATCACCTTCAGCAAACGAAAGGCCGGTATAATGAAGAAGGTAATTTTGATTTTTTTGGAGAATTTGTTTGTCTCCACACATGGTCATGCTTGCTTGCTTATCTCATAACCATTAAAGGTTATACACACACATACGTAACTTGAGTAAGCTTGCATAATGTTATCCCCCTGCCATATTTGTCTTCTCTATTTGGATTGAATTTCCCCCTTTTGGTTCCAAGGAGCCTAAAGCGGTATACAAACAATGTACAGTTCATCAACATTAATTTATCCTTATTCTATCGTCACATCATCACCCACAACGAAAACAATACAGGCATATGAACTCAGTACCCTGACGGGCACTCAAGTTTTGCTTCTAGTCGTATCAGAGACGGGTCTCGTGTACACGTTTACAACCCCCAAGCTTCAACCGCTCGTGACCAAACCTGAAGGAAAGAATTTGATTCAAGCATGTTTGAATGCACCCGATACTCCCACAGGCCAGGATTCACCCGCCACGGTATATATGAAACACATTATTTCTCCTGATACTGTTCGTGCTAAGCAATCATCTTTGTAAATTTTTTTTGCTTAAGCCTGAGTGATGATTTATGTAAAAATGATTTATTAAATAAAGCCAACTGGGCCACGCTTGTAGCAATATGACAATTAAAAATCATACGATTTGTTTATCCGTTCCCTTTCCTCTCCATACGCTCTTTACTTTAACTCACAGACACGCACATCGCAGAATGCTCCCGTCTACGGAAATGACAATTCCGCCCCTGTAGACAACAGTAACAACGATGTCTACGATAGCGACCGAAAGGTAAATTTCACTTTTTTTTCTATCTTTCGCATCTTCCTTTGCTCATCCTTTGCTCATCACCGATACTTACCTCACCTTTCTTTTCTTTCTTTCTTTCTTTCTTCTACCTACCTACCTACCTACCTACCTATCCTATCCTTTCTTCTTTCAACTATAAAGCCGCAAACTCCAGGAGGACAAATCTCTCAGAGTCAACCTTCCTACCTTGGCTTAGCTCCTTACAATCAATACGGTGGGATCCCCAGTAATATGGCCTTAGGGACCGGAGGAATCGCTCCACCTTACATGTCCGCGGGATATCAATACAACCAGTCGCACTTGAATCAATATACGCCGAATAGCTACATGCAACCGGCCGGGTATTGGCCATCCTCTAACGCTGCCTCAAATGGGAACAAGGTGCCCCAGTATCCAAATCAATCTCCTGAAAAGAAGTAAAACCACTCCACCCTTTATCATCTGTATATAACATTGTACAGGTCGTAACGTTTTTGTCGGCTGGATTCTTTTTCACATAATCTTTGTCGACCTCTTTTCTCCTGTTTGATATGGGATCGGTCGGTTTGTTAATATATATATATTTTTTTCTTTATTCTAATATTTTCTAGTGGTGTAATCTTTTACTGATAATTGACACCACCAAAAGAAATATTTCGCCATGTAACATTTCCTTTTTTCTCTTTCCTTTTGATGATATACATACAAAAATTAAATCATTACCAAAAATCATCGATTGGCTGTTAATACATATTCTCACCCCTTTTTTCTTTTTATACATATTACTCTCGATTCACTCCTCCTCATTCCACTACTACCTTTAAAATCCACTTCTTTGGATCCGGAAATCTTACACCGACCAGAAAAAGACGCAAATTTTGATGTCCTCCCTTTTTTTTTTATTTTATCGATTTTGTGCGATATTTTTGCTTCATCTTTCGGCGTTGTTTCTTGTTGAACAAGAATATTTTTACTTGGTTTTTCTCGGTAGGTTGTTCGCTTCGAGTAGATCAGGTTAGGATGTTCACATGTATTTTTATCCAAGGAAAAAACAAACAAAAAAAGGAGTGTACTCTGGATTTGAAAAAAAAGTTTTTTTTTTTTTTTTGTCGACGAATATATATATATATACACGTACACATAAATAAATGAATAAATAAATAAAACGTAAGAATTTACAACACTAAAAAATTATCTTCCTTCTATGCATAACCAAAATAACATTGCGTTAAAAAAATTTTTTAAAAGTAAAATAAAATAATAATACTGTATAATAATAACGAAGTTGGTAATTTGCGCATTGTCGTCTCGTTTAGGACATCCAAATTCCCTCGTGTGAAAATACCTTTCGACCACTTGAAAGAGGAAAACAATGAACCGATATTTTGGTAATTTTTGTTAAAAACAGAAAAACTCTTGGTCAAAGATCATCTAACTTATTGATAATGTTTTTAAGATTTAAATGAAAAACAAGAAAACTCCTTCTTTAGGCTCGGGTCACTCACTAAACCTCGACTGGTATGTCTAAAAACGCAAGTGATTGTGCGCAGCCGTGGCTTAACGCAAGTCAATCTTACGATGCGAAAAAGAAAAAAACCCGAAATCGCAATATACAGCCTCACGGAGAATTTCTCTGAAAAAAAAATCCGTTAGTGACACCCCCCCCCTTAAACTTTCCGGCGATCGCAACTTCCTTAATAGCCCACCTCATTCAAAAGGGAATGAGAGGAAAAAAAAACAAACAAAATTCACGGAACGATGCGTTCTGAAGGAAAATCATTTCGCCATTGCTTAATTGGGATGTTTGTCAAATATGCAACTTCCCGATATCGATATGGAATCTTGTTCTACATATGCTTAACTGGGCTAACTGTTTTTTTTTCTTTCGGTGACGAATGCCTTTTATATAATTAGACTTTCCTTGACAAACGGGTTCGAGACCCTTCTTCTTGTGTACCACCTACTCGACCGAAAATCACACCTCACTTCCCATTTCAGATGTAAATGTTCTATGCATGTCGTCCGAAAATCGCCGGAAATAGTTCAAGCTCCATTGGCACCATTCAAGCAAGGAAACTTCAAAGCTTTATAGGATGAATGATCGAGTTGTACGATATGTAAACAATACAGCATTAATAATTAAATCTATTATTTTCGATTTTTAATAACGGTATTTATTTTATATTACCCGGTTATTGACGGCAAAGAATGTTGAATTGTCTTTATTACACCATTATCGATAATTCATAAAATTTTTATAAATAAAAAAAAAAAAAGATTTATCATGCAAGGATTATCTTGAAAAACAAAATAAAAATTCTTGAAAAGCAATATCAATACTTTAGCGTTAGGCAGAAATATTTAAACCCTACTTATTAAAAAACATTGAGTTAGATATTAACCGGAAACACATTTATTTTGAAATAATTGTGTTAAGAACTATTGAAAAGATTGTAATTAATTATCAAGAAAATTTGATTTTACAGATTTGTATACAAATTTATTAAATAAATTTTTGATAAAAATAATACAAACATTGTAATATCTGTTTGAATATCAATATCAATAATCTCAAATTCAATGAACTTGCCAAAAACCTATTATCATTTTTATAATAAAATACAATAAGCACAAATTAAATAAAAACCGAAATGACAAGTACTGTAAATATCAAAATATATAAAACATGAATACACGGTATATTCAATACTTGAAAAAAGAAAAAATAATCAAAAAATAAAATAAAAGAGACCTTTATCAAAAAAATCATTACTATTTCAAAACAATTATTCAAATATCAATAATATAATTACTGTATATATGACCATAAATAATTTTGGTTATAAATTATATGATAAATTTATAATTTACTTAATTAATATTATTATTGGTTAACTTATTAATCATATAATACTTCATATTAAAAATTATTAATAAATAAAATATTGTTTATTGAGTAAAAACTTTTCTCATCAATTAATTTTTTTCTTGAAATCTTTCTTATTTAATAATAGCCTTTCAAAAAATTCTATACTTTCAAGTATTTTCAAATGTTCTCAATCACTAATCAACTCTTAACATGAAGCAATCTATAACAAACAGTAATCAAAAACAGTTCTTATATGTAACCATTCATTAGAACTGGAAACAATTCTTTCAAATTTACTATCTTGATCTTAATAATAACAAAATTATCAAAAAGTTACTTTTAATCTAATTATTTATGTATGATTCATCTATTTATACAAAAGAATAGACTAGAAAATTATTTGTTATATTTAGAATAATTATCAAAAAAAAATTTCATTTGTAAGATAAAAAGCAAAATTATTCAAAATATTATTATTTTAATAACAAAAGTTATTTTTCTAGTTTTTCTGCAAATAATTGTTTGGAATTTTAAAAAAGCTTTAAAACTTGATTTTTGAGCTATAACTAAAGATGGGTTCCTAAATTAAAGGCAAGGACATAATTCAAATGTCCCTCACTATTAAAAAGGGTTTTTTTTAAATATAAGATCAAAAAAAAAACTACTTACAAAGGTTTTTTGCAATTTAGGCCACTTAATTCAAGTGTTTTTTAAATTATGTCCCTATTAAAGTAATAAAAAATAATTATGTTCCTTCAAAAGAGACATAATTGATCTGTAAAATTTTATATGCTAAATAGTTTAGAGACCCATCCTTAGTTATAACATTTCAAATTTGTTATATTATTTAAAACTATATAGATATTTTAAAAATTTCTGAAGAAAAAAAAAATACATAATATATTAAAAATAATAAATATCGATAAATATTAATAATATATAATGATATTTGTCTAAAGTTAATAAAAATTTCAAATTTTAGTAACATTATCAATTCAATAATTTTTTTTAAAAAAATTTGAAATTAAAACTATTTTAAAATTTAATTGTTAACTACTATATATCCTTAAAAACAATTTTATTTGTATATATAATACTATAATATTTTTTGTTTTGGCACATTAATACAATCTTACTTTTTGTTTACCTTTATAATATTTATACAAATTTTCTAAAAAATCTATTTCAATTTTTATAATTTTAAAATTTTACAAAAAATAATTAATCTTTGTTAAACAATTCTTTAATAAAAATATATACTATTTCAAATAAATTTTTAATTTCAATAACAATAAAATTACAAATTGATGTAAAATTTAACTATAACATTTAAGAAAAAACCTTTCAATAATATATAATTTCCATTCAAACTTAATATTTAATACAAGAATCTATTTTAGTCAAACTTAACAAAAAAAAATATATTGTATTATTCAAAAACAATAAAATTATTTTTAGCAAAAAACAAAAAACTAATAAAAATAATATTTTAATTAACTATTAAATTACAATTAATAATAATTTCAATCAATTGAATATTACTATAATATTAAGCAATTTTTATAAATATTAATTTATATTTAACACAAAAAAACATTCTTTTAATCATATCTATATTGTTAAAAATTTTTCATTTATAATAATTTTAAGCAAAAAAAAATAGTTTTTCCTTTTATTACAAGTAAGCTCAAATTTAAGAACTTAAAAACTTTCAAGACAATTGATATAATAGAATGAAACCTCTGATTAAAGTCTATTCAAGTTTGAGAGTCTTTCTTATTCTTCAGTTATATAAGAAAAGACCTATAGCTGTTTTCTTTTCTTTTGTTCTCTTGTATACATTCTTATTCTTTTTTTTTTTTTAAATCACAAACAAGTATTAAATGCAAAATATTTATTAAACAAAAGTTTATTGTCATTATATTAACAATCTTTAAAATATATAGAAGTTAAGTTAATTATAACCTATTGCAACTTTACAATAAGTATGTGCTGGCACCAAGTAGGTGTTTGCATACTAAAGGTGTTGAATGGCTAATGTCTATTCAAAATGATTATACTATAGCTGGTATAAAGATTTTTTTGTCAATAAGATTTTCAGAATTTTTTAAGATATTAAGAATTTTTTAAAAAATGCTTATATTTAAGTAATTAGTATTGGGATTTATTGCCGGAGTAGTTTTTTTCCATATAATTCCTGAGGTTGTTAAAGTAGTGATGGTTGCTAATCTCTGTTTCCAAATTTTGTTCAAGATTTTTAAAGAATAGTTTGAGATTTCTTCTTTTTTTCAGATGATGTCGAAGGAGTTGTTGAACTTGCCAAGAGCTAGATCAAGTAGAGTTTTGCTTGTTAGATTTGTTGTTTGGAAAAGGTATGCCTCACTTGAGTTTAGTTTTTCTTTAGGGATGTTAAGAGTGATGAGAGTCTTGAGTTTGTCTTTTTTTTTTTCAATGTGGGAAGACAGTGATGACATAAAAAAATATGATTTAAAGTTTCCAGGTGAACTTCGCAGTGAGGACACAGGTTATCTTTATAAAGAAGTGGATATCTTTTATAGAATTTGTTTTGAGT